GGAAATACTATCTATTCATATCTTTGCTCATTTATCAACTATACATTTTAGAGTTTGTTATATCAACTTTCATGTGTTCTCTATATGTTAATATTAAGATAGTTATATTTATGGCAAAAAATTGTTAGGTTTTACTTTTGAGACATGGACTTGCTATGCTACCCTTGCTATGGTCTTGAACTCCTAGCCTCAAGCAATCCTCCAGCCTCAGCCTCTCAAACAAGTAGGACTTCAGGCACACGCAACCATAGCAGACAACATTGTCTTTATTTTTATGTAGCCAAGTATAATAATTTTGTTTGTTTTTGTCCCTTTTTTACTGCTTTTAGCCTAAAATGGATTCACCCCTAGAGATTAATAAGCATTCATTTAAAATTTTTTAAAATGTATATTTCACCTTTCTTTATATTTAATGAAATGTTAGGAATTTTAACAAAGAATAAAACAATCATACTTTTTTTTTCTAACTTAATAAGATAGTTCAGTTGATCTCTTTSAATATGTCTGTTACTTATAAGTGTAAAAGAATCCTTCCTCCAAAGGTTTTTTTTTTTAATTTTTTAGTTGTAGATGGACACAATACCTTTGTTCTATTTATTTTTTATGTGATGCTGAGGATAGAACCCAGTGCCTCACATGTACTAGACAAGCACTCTATCACTGTACTACAACCCTAGCCTCTCCTCCAGAGATTTGATATTTTTGTTTTCTCTCATTTTTCGTGTGGCTTCACTTTTAATATTTAGCATTTTACTAATCAGGAATTTGTTGCAAATCAATAACTAAATTTTTAAAAAATTACTCAATATTTTTCCATTACTTATTAAATAAACCCATACTTATTTTTAAAAACCTAATTAGTTCCTGTAAGATTCTACTTTTCCAAAGCATTTCATTCCCTTTACAAAGGTGTACTTACTCTCTATAAGAGATCCTCTGAATAATCATCAACTACAAGAGAAATGACAGCTTTGAATAATATTTTGTATATCAGGGTTGAAAAATTTTCTTAAAATATTTTATAAATATTCTATTAGCTACAGGATAACCCAGTCACTAAATAATGTCTCATGGCTTTAGTTAGGGGTAAGGAAAGATGGTAAATAATTATAAGGAATTGGACTAAATTCTGACTGTGGTTAACGTATACTACTCTTTGTTTAATTTAGTAGTAACAATCATACGGAATAAGACTGACTCCTAATTTAAATGAGAATGCCAAAGTTTAGACATTAATGACAGACCCAATATCAGACAATTCTACAGGTCCCAAGCTTATGCATTTCCTCCTATACTGCTAGTTCTCCACTGTGGGCAATTTTGCACCATACCTCCCAGGGGACATTTGACAAGATTTGCAGACACTTTTTGATTGTCATTACTGAAGGAGGTGGGTAGGGAARCTACTGGTATCTCACAGGCAGCCTAGGGTTGTGCCAAACATTTTGMAATACACAAGAGAATCCCTCAAAATAGAGAACAATCCTGTTCAAAATGTCAAKAATGGTAAAATTCTAAACTATAGTTTCTTAGGACCACTTCCCTATTATCTGTTTTTTTTTTTTTAATATTTAACACAGATTAATAGTAAATCTTTTTCTTTTTTGTACTGGGCATTGAGCCCAGGGGACACTTTACCACTGAGCTACACATCTCTAGTTCTTTTTATTTTACAACAGAGTCTTGCCAAGTTGCTTAGGATGGCCTCAAACTTGGGATCCTCCTGCCTCAGCCTTCTAAGATTACAGCTAATAATAAATCTTGACGAATTCCTTATAGTGTCATCTTGCAAAAATATTAAGTTGTAGTCAGTTTTAAACATTATCTTGTCAAAATCTGAATCTCTGTGATTCTCAAACTATTAAGACTAAGCTTCACTATGCTTGAATCTATCCCATTAACCATTCAGAAGTAMATTAAAAATAAACCACTGAGGGGTGGGAATCTCATGAAAATAAAAGGGAGATTAATAGAGAAAAGGAACCAAAGGGAGTGAGGAAGCAGGGAAAGGAGAAAAAAACAAAAAAACATCCAATCACTCAGGCATGTATTGACAGTTACAAATTCCCTTCTCCCTCTGCCTCACTGATGGAATGTTGATCCTCACCTCTTTAGCAGGCCTCTTCCTCAGTTCCTTAAGTTCCTTAAGATGGGCTCCTTGGGCCTCTTTTCTTCTGCCACTTTTCTGTGGTCTAAGGCAAATACTTCCCCTCCCCTCAATTACCTAATCTTTAAACAATAACTAAATCTGTTTCTTTACTGAGCTCAAAACCTTACTTTCCAATTGCCTGCTACATCTTAAAATTTCCAAAAGTCAACTCACTTCCTTCAGGAAACTTTCTCCTTTACTTAGGTTGCCTTTTTTTGTTCAGGATATCATACACTGAATTGTCCTTTCAGAAGCTAGAAATGTGTCATCCTTGCTGCCTCAATCTCCCTCACTCCCATAATCACTCAATACCTTCTATTCTACCTAAAATTTTCTCATAAGTACTTATATAGTTAACCAGAGGTAAAGCAGAGTGGTTAAGAGCTCCAAAACCATAATAGATACGAATCCTAATGTCACAAAAAAGCTGAGTTAGTTTGAGGCATGTCATTTGATCTTTCAGTTAATTGTTTCTTATTTATAAAATGAATATTTTTTTAAGATGAGGGTCTCACTATGTTGCCCAGGTTGCCCTTAAATTTGGCACTCAAGTGATCCTCCTACCTTAGCCTCCCAAGTCTACACATATAAAAAATGAATTTAATAGTAGTACCTATCTTTGGGGATTTACAAAGAAGCTTAATAAATTAATAGATGTCAAGTATATAGATAGCATCTGGAAAATAGCAAGCTTAAATATTAGTTGTTACTGATTTTATTGTTAGCAGCTAAGTTAAGTACTCTCAAAGGTTATCTTCTGAGAATGCAATTGGGAAAAAAAATATCACAAAGATTTAAAACACATGAAGCCCTCTACCACTGAGCCACAACCCCAGTCCTAACTGTTAATAGTTTGAGAAATCATTCTCTACAATGGGAAAGGACCTTGTTTGTGGATCAGGAATATTTTACTTACAATTTGATTTTTTATGCACATCTGACACAAAGGGGAATAGGATGATCACAAAATATGAGTATCTAGTTTGCTTGATATTTATATTTCTCAATGTAAATTAATGATTCAAATGTTACTTTTTGAACATCTAAAACTGTTCCTTTTAAAGTTCTTTATATTTCAGCACTTGCTTCATTTATTCTGCCTCCTGATTGCTAGTTGTTGTTTTTTTGTTTATCTCTTCCAACAGGCTGTAAGTACCTTAAAGTATATTAGTATTCCTAGTTCCCTTTTTCCATTTTCTACAGTGAAAATTTAAGTTTGTTATTAAGTTTATTCTTAAATGTTTGATGGATAAAGGGATGAATAATAACATGTGATTATTCTCTTCTCAAGTAGAATCTGAAAAGTAAACACAAAGATTGTACTTACTTTATTCTTTTCATTTTGAATAATTGCTATTAGTTKGTCCGTGTGCCCTTCTTCTATACATCTCTGGCCTGCTAACTGAAACAGGCCAAAATCTTCTTCTTTAAAGTCATGCTCTTCTAGAATTTGCTGAAAAAACAAAATAAACAAAAGAATAAGCATATGCAAATAAAAATTCAGTATGACAACTTCTTAATTTATTTTCTTTCTTTGTAAGAAGGGAAATGTTTAAATCCTAGATAAATTGTTTGAAATTTAGGATTATAATAATTACTAAGTGATTTTGAAATCTACTACATATCAAAGAATCCTATGAAAAGGATCAGCATCAAAATTAAAGAGGTTATTTAGATAAGGATATCATCTGTACAAATAATYCAATCTGCTGTCCTGTCCTCATGCTATTTATTTACCAGCCAAAAAAAGCAAGGATTAAAGAAGATAAGTAATCTGAGTAACCACAAAAGTAATTAAAAATGATGTCCTTCCCATATTTTAAAAGAAATTTTACACAAAAGAAAAAAAATACTTACACATCTTTTAATTATGGACTGAAGTTCCTCCACAGCCATTCCTAATTATTATTTCTAGTTTTGATGCTGAAATGAATTAATATAAAAAGTTAACTGATATTGTTTCATTTTGTTCAATTATTAGAAAACATTATAAGGAAAACGTAAGGTTTTACTATTAGTGAATGTTAGTATGTTCACTTAAGAAAGTAATTTTGCTTTGGAAAAAAAACAAAAAACTCTATTGCATCTTTTTAAGAGCATAGTTTTGAAAGAAAGAACCCTTTGGAGCATTCCCTAGAAGACAGTCAAATATGCTTTTAAAAGGCAAAGTATTTCTTCCCTGAAAAAAAAAAATTTCCTCAAGTTGGGCCTAAAATGAAAATTGTAATCACTGGGGAAATTTTTATTTTTTAGTGTCCCACGACAAAAACTGGAATTCAATACAAGTCACCCAAAGGGGGCTGAAAGTTCAAACGCCCTCCACCCCATTTCACTGTAGGAGCTGCACTCCCCCAAAGTAAATCACTCCAGTCAGTGAAACCGCCATATCACACCGAGACAAGGCAATTGGCGGTCCTCAGGAGAACACCATCCGGCTCCCGCCGAACACCGGTTTCTCGAGGCGAGAAGGCTCGGCCCCAGTCTGCGGCAATAAGTGGGCTCTGCCGGTCCTCTAAGGAGGATAACACCCTAGCGCGCTTGTAGGCGGCATCCAGAGGAAGCCATTTCTCCCGACTCCTGCTGTACTAGGCGTTCTGGTCCCACCACCTCGCGGGGCCTARTCACTCACCGCGCCGCTTCCCCCACCGCTCGCCGCGCACAGCTAGCCAGGCACACACCCGCCCCCAGACCTCCCGGTGTGGTCACTTACCCGCCGGACCTCGCGGTGCGCTTAGGCAGCAGCCACCACTTTCGACCYCGCAGGCCGCGCTCCGGCCCCGCCCCCGGGCCCGCCCCGGCCCGTGCGACGCGTGTGGAGGCGGAGCTTGGCGGGGGACGCCGGAGGCGGCCCCTGACCTTCTGACGAAGCTTCCCCATGGCTGACTGGGGTCGGCCGCGCTCAGCCGGCCAGAAGGCCCGGGGTCCCCGCGCCTCCCGGAAAGCTGCAGGTAGGAAGAAGGCTCCCTTCCCATGTTTGGTTCCTGAGAGCTGGTCCCTGGCCTGGCTCCAGGCAGAGGCGTGCAGAACGCTCTCGAAAGGCCGCTCCAGGGAAGGTGGGGTGGACCTTGGAGTTGAGAAAGCCGAGAGCTTCCCACCGCGGTCTTTTCGACTTCCCGCCGGGATCCCCTTGCCCCTTGGCAGATGTTTCAGGATTTCTCCCAGCGTGCGCTGTGGCCACTTCCCGCTGAGGGGAAGTGCGGGGAGGTGTTGGGGAACCCCAGGGAGCAAGTAAATGACCTGGGCAGCCTCAGCATTGTCAGGCAGTGCGGCTGGCCCTGATCTCTCTACTGGACCTTTCAGACAGCTTTCATGCCCAGTTCCAGGGAGTAAGGGACTCACTCCCCTGCTACACCAGTAGTAAACTTTTGGGAAGTGAAGATGTTTCTCTCTTAAAGTACTCAGTTCTCGAATTTGGGGGAGCACTTAATTAACGAAGCAACTGTGATACATAAGAAAATTCAATCTCTAAAGAGATACATTTTAACAAAGAAAAATTGGAAAGTAATGCACAAAAACAAATTGTACTCCCTATTTCATTTTGATTTACACACAGCATTGGAAATGAAATATGTGGACAAGAAGAAAAGATGTCTATAGTTTGTTATTTGGACAGGAATCTCTACCTACCGTTTGTGTAGACTTGACCTGTGTGATGCGCTGTAATTCCAGCGACTCAAGAGTCTGAGGCAGGGGGATCACAAGTTTGAGGCCAGCCTGGGCAATTTAATGAGACCCTATTTCAAAATTTAAAAGAATAAATAAAATGACTGGAGATATAGGTTAATGGTAAAGCATTCTTGGGTTCAATCCCCAACATACACACACACAAAAAAAGGCGACCTATTTTTTAATTGTAGGTACTAAAGAGACAAGTGTTTTGAAACAAGAAGATGCGTTTAAAAGGTGAGTACTATTTGGACAAGAGYATTCACTATTATATTACCTGTTATATTAATTGAACCAATTTTAAAAACAATAATAGCTACTTATTTTGGAGAAAAGTGTCATGAGAGGGAAGAGGAAGATCTGGTAAGCACTATAAACTCTTATAGGCTGTTACATCCCTCTACTCTAAGTTTTAAGAAAACCAAACTGGAGACTGCCGGCATTCTGAGACAGGTGTATTTGTACAAAGATGTTGTGGGAACAGTGTTCTTGAATTTACAGATACTCCTTTCCCACCTCTTCGGGTCTCTTTTTTATGTTTATTTTTTAGTTGTGGTTGGACACAATACCTTTATTTTATTTATTTATTTTTATGTAATGCTGAGGATTGGATCCAGGGCCTCGCAGTGCAAGGGCCTCTACTGCTGACCCACACCCCTAGCCCTTCAGGTCTGTTTTTACTGGTATATAAGCCAGAAACTCAATGTCGAAGTTTCTCTCATTATCACTCCAAGAAACTTTTTTTTAAAAATTATATCAAGTCCATATTTTCATCAAAAAGCTGTCCTGTACTGTCTTTTGACTCCTAAAAAGATAGGACAGTGCTGGGACTGGGGCTCCCACCTGTAATCACAGCAGCTGGGGAGTCRTAAGGCAGAAGGATTTTGAGTTCAAAGCCAGCCTCAGCAAAAACAAGGCAATAAGCAACTCAGTGAGACATTGTCTCCATATAAAATACAAAATAGGTCTGGGGATGTGGCTCAGTGATCAAGTGCCCCTGAATTCAGTCCCCAGTGTGTTCCCCCCACCACCCTGTGGGGGGAAAAAAAAGGCCAGATAGTATCTCAGGCTCATGTCACAAAAATATTTCTAGAATAGGAGTAGTCTATGATGGAGATAAGATGTATATCTATGACTTACCACTTTATAAAAACTCACTAATCTGTATTGACTTTTATCTTAATTTACTCATTTTTTTTTTCCTAAAGTTATTTGCTGATTGTAAGATATTCCAGTCTTGGATTAGGTCCTGAGGATATGGTGTTGAACAAAATAGACACAGTTCTTGTAACCACTTGAACAGAGAAATATCAGTTRAGCTAATACAAATAAATATATAATTACAAATTTTGATATGTGCTATGAAGAGAAAGATTAATGTTATGAGGAGAAACTAATTACAGAAGTTCAATTTAGATGGGGATTGGCTGTGGGTTTTCAAGGAAAAGCTCTCTGAGGAAGTAATAATTAAACTGAGACCTGAAGGCTAAGCTTGCATTAACCATACAGAGTAGCCACTTCAAAAAAAGATGCCTGGGGCACAGGGCTCAGTGGTGCATGCCTATAGTCCTAGTGGCTCGCTTGCTCGGAAGGCTGAGGCAGGAGGACTTCAAGTTGAAAGCCAGACTCAGCAAAAGCAAGGCGCTAAGCAACTGGGTAAGGCCCTGTCTCTAAATAAAATACAAAATGTGTCTGGGGATGTGGCTCAGTGGTTGAGTGCCCCTGAGTTCAGTCCTCAGTACCAAAAAAAAAAAAAGATGCCTGGGATGATCTGGGATAATGTGTGCATTTGGGCAAGGGAAAAAAGGAGCATAGGAAAAGGTTAGAGGCAAAATTCTTCACATAGTACCTGGTAGGTCATGGTGAGAAATTAGGTTGTCTAGTTGCAGATGGGAAAACTTAATGAAGTAAATGTTGAAGACAATAGGCTGAGAATCATCTAAGAATGGAGAAACTAGATGGATTCAAAATCTGTTTTGGAAAATAGTTCCCTGCAGAGTAGCACCATATTAACTGGGCTTTAGGAAACATTACAAGAGTAAAATTTAATTAATATTGATTATGGTGGTGAATTGCAACTCTTCTCAACATTGATCTGACCACAGACCTTACAATTTGAAGAATATAGGTAAGCCAAAATGTTTTTTGGGTTGTTTTGTTGTGATGCAGTACTGTGGATCAAACTCAGGGCCTCTTGCATGACAGACAAATATTCTACTGATGAGCTACATCCCCAGCCCCAGCTGAAATGTATTTTGAGTAGGTCACTCAGGGTTATGAAACAAGCATTCATGGGAATAACCAAATCATTGAGAGGAGTGCCCCTCAATAAACTTATTCCAACTTAAAAATTCTTCTACATTCAACCAGCTAAATACCATTAAGACAGACATTGAAGAGGTTTGCAAAAATATAACAGTTCTACTCATCTCACAAAATTTTTCATTTAAAAATGTTAACATGTAATAGGTTGATAAAGGAATTAATAAATAAATACTTTTAAGTTTTTTCAGTTTGAATCCTAATGTGGTAAATGTTGACACGTAAAATGCATGTATGCAAAAGTTCTAATTTTAATAGTGTAAAGGAGTTCTTAGACCAAAAAGTTTGAGATCTGCTTCTACACACCACACTGCCTATCATTTGTGACAGAAGGTCACAATAAGACAGGAAACAGCTCTAGATATCTGTCAATTAAGAGGAGTATGGCTCAGGTGGAGGTGGTTATGACTTGAGTCAGAAATTCCTTAATGCAGGTTATATGTATACTGATCTTAGTACGTGATGTGGCTTTTGTTGGTAGGCAGCAAAATGAGAAAAATTTTTTAAAATAAGTTTTTCATGAAACTAAATGTGTTCAATAAAAGATATCTGTCATTTAATTTTTTGTACTTATTTAATATAAAAAAAATGTTGCAAGGCGTAGTGGTACATGCCTATAATCTCAGAGATTTGGGAAACTGAGGCAGGAGGATTACAAGTTCAAAGCCAGTCTCAGCAACCTAGCAGGGCCCTACACAACTTAGTGAGACCCTGTCTCAAAATAAAATGATCTGGAATGTGGCTCAGTGGCTAAGCACGCTTGGGTTTAATCTTTGGTAACAAAAAAAGAAAAAATTATCTTTATGAAATGATATGTGAATTGGTGTTGTCACAAAATTCTTGTTTTAATGTCCATATTTGACAAAGTAAGTTGTTGACAAAACTGTCAGATTGTTTCTGGAAAACCTTGCTGGAAATGAAAGTCTAAAAGTCTTGGAAGTCAATGAAAGTAGAATGGATGAAGACATTCTGGGTCCAGTTGTAAGAATTAAGGACCAGGAGGCCAGCAAAGGTAGTTCTGATAGGTAAGTAGAAACCAGTGCAAGAAAGGAACAAATGAGTCACTAGGAAGGTTGATCTCCTTGGTTCTATGGCAGTGATTCAACCCTGTTGAAAAGTAATAATCAGGGCCCATTCTCAGGGATTCTGATTTAATTACCTTACAGTGGGAACTGAGCAGCATTTTAGTATCTTGTTTTAAAAAATCTCCACAGACAATCCTAATGTGGAKCTGGGACTGAGAATCACTGTTGATAGGTCTATCTTTTGATTAGATAGTCTGTGTTTTTTGAGTTCTGTAATATGTGGGGGCAAACAAAGGCTGACAGAGCCCTGCTGATAGCAAGAACAAGCCCTCCCAGGAAGACTTTTCTTTACCTAAGCCATACATTCCTATCAATACAATTATTTAACAAGACCTCACAACAAGAATAAGTAGTTTTTTGCAGATGTGACTGTTCTTTCAAGTTGGGCGGTCCATCAGTTAATTTTTGAGACTTAACAAAAACACAAATTTCTACTTAGAAATTATCTACTTTCTAGTGTCTTCTGATATTTGGCTCTTTATCAGAGAAAAATCCTTTTTTTTTTTAAAGGTACCTGTGGGATAGAGTGTACCTTAAAATTGGTAGAGTATAAACTAGCAGGCAGAAAAAATTCACATTATTTTCTTTAGGAGTCTCTAAAGTGCTTCTTTTTTGCTCTTTATCAGGGAAATAGTCCTTATGGCTGACTTCTGTGTACATGGTACAACAAATAGTTTGTTTCTTTTTTGAAAAGTAACAGCATTAAAAAATGTAAACTGGTAAAATAGGTTAGTGTTGGATTTTAAAACATGAAATATTATAAGCATGCAAAAACTTTTTATGAGATTAACCTCATTAATTTTTTAGGAAAACAGAACTAGAAGCAGCTGTGAAAAAGAAGATTGAGTTTGAGAGAAGAGCTCTACATATTGTTGAACAACTTTTAGAAGAGAATATTACAGACGAATTCCTAATGGAATGTGTATGTGTTAAGTGAACAAATTATTAGTTTTATAGTATAATATCTTCAAATCTATACAAAATGAAACTTCTTTGCATTGTTGAAATCTTTAAATCTGATGTCAGTCATTACATACACGTAATGTGCTTTTATAATTCATGCATTTTTAAATAACCAGCTATCCTAATATTATTATATAATGATTTTAAAATGCATWAATGAAAAATAGCAAGTATATAGCAAGATTACTATAGTTAAACTAATGTATATCTTAAAGTTGCTGAAAGAGTGAATTTGAAATTTTCTCATTACAAAGACTTATGTGAGATGATGGATGTGTTATAACCTGATTTGTTCATTCCACAATGTGTATGTGCTCTAAAACATTTGTATCCTATGAGTATGTATAATTACTATGTCAATTAAAAATAAAACATTTAGGGAAAAAAAGTACATTTTGACCCTTAGTTATAGTTCTTTTAATCAGTCTGCTGATATAACTTGATTTTTTTCTTCCCTTTGACTAATGATCACAATATCAATTTTCTGATATTCTGTGTATTGTACTATTTTAAGTAACAGATTATTTTTTGTGAATGTAATTCATTTTGATATCTTTAAGACCTGAAATATAGATCATTTATGACTTAAAACAAAATAATTTGCATTAAATTTTTAAATAGCTTTATTAAAACTTTTAATGGAAATTCCTTTAAATCCTCATAATCTAGTTTCTATTACAAAAGTAATTTTTATTGTAGTTCAGGGATTTTTCCAAAACAAAAATATGAACATGACAATATTTAAATTAATATAGGTAACTACATCAAAATCTGCATATATGATGATGCTGAACAAAATAAAGACAAACCAGAAATGCTTCATTTGAGACAAAAAACATGTCACTCTCAGTCAAGACTATTTCAATCCCTATAAAAACCATTTGAGACCTAGTCTCAAAATTAAAAAAGCAGGGGACAGGGGATGTAGCTCAGTGGTAGAGAGCACTCCTGACTTCAATCCCTACTTCTGAAAAATTTTTTTTCAAAGTTAAAAACAAGAATTAAAATTATTTATGCATGAATATATTTGGTGTTAACTTATTAACCATTCTATATTGAATATTTTTTCGAAAGCAGGAACATTTGCACAAAWATTTGTGCAGGAGTTAACATATTTTACCTATCTTAAAAATAGATAAAATTACATAGTTCTAGTACTTCATGTGGTTTATTTTTTTTAAAAAGTACTTGCTTAAAAGATACTATCATTTAGTGTTGGTATAGCACCACTTCTTCCTGCTGCCTCAAAATAATTTTATCAACTGTATAATCTACAAAGATGCCTACACTTTGTAGTGGTGGAAGTTTTTGTTTTTTAATAATAACTAACATTTTTTGATCGTTTACTATAAATCAACACTTTTGAGTACTTTTTATTTTCTCCTCTAATTCTAATTTTAGACTTATTAGGTACGTACTATTGTTGCTCCTGTATTTTTAGATTAGATTGATGAGTAAAGATCAATTTCTTTTCCATTAATCTGGAAGAAAATGCCTCTCTGGTTTCATTACAGGGGAAGTTCATCACACCTGCTCACTACAGTGATGTCGTGGATGAGCGTTCTATTATCAAACTCTGTGGTTATCCTTTGTGTCAAAAGAAGCTGGGAATTGTAAGTAACTGTTTTAAAATTATAGCCTTTGTCTGATTTTTAGCAAAATGCTCTATGGAAAGAAAAGAAAGTGAAACCTGAGGTAATGAACTGATGTCATGGGTTAGTCAAAAATATGATAGGTAGATGACTTAAATTTGTAATAGAAGTTCATGTTAATTTTTTTTGTAAGCTGTGCTTTCTTTTCTTTAGGTACCAAAACAGAAGTATAAAATTTCTACCAAAACAAATAAAGTCTATGATATTACTGAAAGAAAGGTAAGTTCAATAGCTATTTTGAATGTGGTAGTTAATTCTTATTATGATATAAACTAGAATTTAAAAATAACTTTATCATCTTGCCTGTTAGAAAATGACCATGTTAAAAGTTTATTTGTAAATATTTCAACCAAGGTACTAAAAACAATTCCTTGCTTAAGCTTTAATTAAGACTTAAATATATATTGGCACAAATTATATATAGATTGTGTACAATGAAACTACATAGTAGCACAATTCAAGGTAAGTAAATCATAGAATAGAGAACCAGTACACTCAACACAAATGTGGATACTTGATATGTGACAGTGGGAGTATTATAGTTCAGTGAAGGAATGACGGCTTTTTCCATAAATAGCACTAACASTTATCTAGATAAAAAATGAAAAATATATACAAACCAGGTGAAATAAAGACTTAAATATGAAAGGCAGACATACATTTTTTCCATCAGGGATTTCCAAAAAGTGAAAAGATAAGCCACAAATAAGAAGTTATATTTTCTACATATAATCTGACCACAGATTCACACTGAGAATATATAAGCTATGAGAAAAAGAGAGCAAAATTAATGGAAGACTTTTGTACAATTAACTTGAATGACTATTGAACATATAAAAAGATCTTGCTCAGTCTTTTTAGTTATCAGGGAAATAGCAAATAGCAACACATCAAATTACATTTTTCAATCCCAAAAGTAGCAAAATTTTAAAAATCTGATAATATTTGAAATTCTTTATGTTGCTTGTAGTAATAAAAATTTGGTATTTATCTGGTAAAGTTGACTTTACTATAGCATCCCCAGGACCTCATGCATGCTAGACAAGCACTCACCCCTAAGCTATATCCCTACCAGCTTTGCACTTTGTTTATGACCAAGTCTTTCTATTCCTTTGTACATACCTTAAAGAAGTTTTTGTTCATATGCACTAGTAATAATATATATGTATAAGAATGTTCACAATGGGAAAAACAAAATGTGGCATATGCGTATTATGGAATATTATTCAGCTTTAAAAAGGAAGTAAAGTTTGATGCATACTATAATATGGATAAACCTTGAGGATGTTATGCTAAGTGAAATAAGCCTGCACAAAAGGAAATATTATGATTCCACTTAGGTATCTAGAGTAATGAAATTCAAGAGACAGGAAGCAGAATGGTGATCGATAAATGAGGAATTAGTTCAGCAAGGTAGCAGGATATAAAATTAACACCCATAAATCAAAGGCATTTCTGTATATCAGTGACAAATCCTCTGAAAGGGAAAAATACCCCATGAGGAAAACTACCCCATTTACAATAGCCTAAAGAAAAATAAAATGCTTCTGAATCAACTTAATGAAAAAGGTGAAAATCTGTACAATGAAAACTATAGAACCCTACAGAAAGAAATCAAAGAAGACCTTAGAAGATGGAAAGATTTACCTTGCTCTTGGATAGGCAGAATTAATATTATCAAAATGACCATACTACCAAAAGCACTATACAGATTTAATGCAATTCCAATCAAAATCCCAATGGCATTTCTTATAGAAATATAAAAAGCAATCATGAAATTCATCTGGAAAAATAAGACACTCAGAATAACTAAAGAAATCCTTAGCAGGAAGAGTGAAGCAGGTGGCATCACTATACCAGACCTTGAACTATACTACAGAGCAATAGTAATAAAACCAGCATGGTATTGGCACCAAAACAGACTGGTAGACCAATGGTACAGTATAGAGGACACGGAGACTAACCCACAAAATTACAATTATCTTATGCACAAAAAAACATGCATTGGAGAAAGGATAGCCTCTTCAACAAATGGTACTGTGAAAACTAGAAATCCATATGCAACAAAATGATATTAAACCCCTATCTCTCACCATGCACAAAACTGAACTCAAAGTGGATCAAGGACCTAGGAATTAAACCAGAGATTCTGTGTCTAATAGAAGAAAAAGTAGGCCCTAATTTTCGTCATGTGGGATTAAGCCCCAACTTCCTTAATAAGACTCCTATAGCATAAGAATTAAAACCAAGAATCAATAAATGGGATGGATTCAAACTAAAAAGTTTCTTCTCAGCAAAAGAAATAATCTGTGAGGTGAATAGAGAGCCTACATCTTGGGAGCAAATTATTACCACTCATACATCAGATAGAACACTAATTCCTAAGGTATATAAAGAACTCAAAAAGCTAAGCACCAAAAAAACAAATAACCCAACCAATAAATGGGTCAAGGACCTGAACAGACACTTCTCAGAAAAGGATATACTATAAATCAACAAATGTTGAAAAATTTTCATCATCTCTCGCAATTAGAGAAATGCAAATCAAAACTACTCTAAGATATCATCTCACTCCAGTCAGGATGGCGGCTATTATGAAGACAGACAATAAGTGTTGGTGAGGATGTAGGGAAAAAGGTACACTCGTACATTGCTGGTGGGACTGCAAATTGGTGCAACCAGTATGGAAAGCAGTATGGAGATTCCTTGGAAAACTAGGAATGGAACCACCGTTTGACCCAGCTATTTCTCTTCTTGGTCTATGCCCAAAGGATTTACTACAGGGACACAGCTACATCAATGTTTATAGCAGGACAATTCACAATAGCTAGACTGTGGAACCAACCTAGATGCCCTTTAGTAGATGAATTAATTAAAAAATGTGGTATATATACATAGTAGAATATTACTCAGCAGTAAAAGAGAATAAAATCATGGCAATTGCAGGTAAGTGGATGGAGTTGGAGAAGATAATGCTAAATGAAGTTAGCCAATCCCAAAAAAACAAATGCCGGTAGGGAGGGGAGGCATGGGCGTAATAGACGAACTCTAGATAGAGCAGAGGGGGTGGGGGGGAATGTATTCCACTGTCATTTATTTTTTAAAAATCAATAAAAAATAAATGGGGAATTAGTATTTGATGCATATAGAGTTCAGTTTTGTAAGATGAAAAAACTTAATGCTGGCGATGGTTGTATGACAATATGAACTACACAAAATGGATAAGATGGCAGATTTTACATTGTATTTTATTACAGTTAAAAATTTTTATTATAAAAATGTTGATATTAACATTGAAATAATTGCAAAAAATTAGAAACAATTGTCTATAAACAATAAAATTTAATATATTAACACAATGGAATCCCAAATTTAGCAAAGATGGGATGTTATAATTACATGAATAAGTCTTAGAAACATGATTTTGAACTGAAGACGAGAATATKTAACAGCATTATTCCACTTAAAGTTTAAGAAGAGGCAAAACTGAATATGCTTTATGGGGATATGGATGTAGGTGGTAAAAACTAGAGAAAGGGGCTGGAATTGTGGCTCAGCAGTAGTGTGCTTGCTTAGCACCGGCGGGGCCTGGGTTCGATCCTCAGCACCACATAAAAATAAAGGCATTGTGTTGTGTCCATCTATACCTAAAAAATAAATATTTTTTAAAAATTAGAGAAAAACAGGGAATGATTAACATCAAATTAGGATAGTTTTTACTTTTAGGGAATGTAGGGGGCCATGGGGTGGAGCCCATAGAAGCCTTCAAAGGCACTTTACCTTATTTCTTACCTTAGGTTGGTGTTCAAAGATTAAGTGGGGTTTTGTTTTAGTCTTTAAACTGCACATTTATGTTTTATACTCTATTGTATATAGGTTACATTTCATAATAAGGAAAATAACTAGTTTTAAAATGTCTTTTTCAGTCTTTTTGCAGCGATTTTTGTTATAAAGCATCCAAGTTTTTTGAAGCACAAATTCCCAAAACTCCAGTATGGGTTCGAGAAGAAGAGAGGTAATTTAAATCATTATATATGCACATTTGTTCATGTRTGTACTAATTTCTGCTCTTTGAGATAAGCTGAAAGTAGATCTGGTTTTCTCTAGAGTGTTAAGATTTTACATGCTTTAATTGTGATGAAATGGTTATATTTTGAGCATAGTTATTAAGGATTTTATACTTAAAATCAGAAAATTTACACATGCAGATGTTATTTACTTGTTTTGTTTGCTATTTTAGCTTTAATCACAAAACTAGAACTTCAACTGGCTTCCTGCCGTGCCAGAAATGTCTATGAATCTTGTTACTATAATAATCCTGAATTAAGAATATTAAATTTTTTCAGAAGATACTAGGTTTTGTTGTTAGGAAACTATGTACTAAGGTTCAAATTTTTTTGAAAACTCATTTAATCTTTGTCAAAATTAGTATATTGTATCATAAATTTAAAGAAAGTTTATTAAAGTCATTTTTGCAAGGAAGTTTATGGTCAATGCAAGAGTCTTACCACTTGATAAATACTTAGACACTTGCAATATTTTACTAGGTAATGAATATTGAGAGTGAAATGCCATGATAATGTAACAGAGGTAACAAAAATATCATAATAATTAAATTATGTTATCTAGAAAGTCCAAACAAAGGCTCAAAGAGATAAATAATATTCCAAATAATTTATATTTGGAAAAAGAATGTTGCAACAGTCAAAGAGAGTATAATTTGTGATAAGACAGTAAAGATCTATGCTAATAAATACATTAAATATAATGAGATGCAGTTAATTAAAAGAGTTTTGTCCCTCCTCCCAAAGAGAAAATCCTTAATGTCTCATCCTTAAAGTCTCATCTGATGAAGCTGACATGACACCACTCTAAATTCAACCAGCATCATTTATAGTTACAACTGTATCTTTAGTGACAGACACCTTTGCCTTCCAATCCAATACTCTGTGACTTAGAATATGTAAAACATAACACTTTTTGACCTTAACTGAATTGTATATAATGAAGACTGAATTATTCATCATTTCATCACCAATCTTCAGCTTTGTTTAGAGGATAAAACATTGTGGTATTGTCCAGGGTAACTAGAAAAGCACTTTGTTTTTCATTASTTTTTCCCATTTTAATTATGTCTTTCACTAAAGAAGCTCATTACCACCTCAGCCCTACAATGGCATATATTCCATTCCCCACTAAGATCTGTTTCTTAAATTATCCTTTCTTTTCAAACAGTCCTTTTCTTCTTATTAAATTTAACCCTCTGTGTTATCCTTATGTTTGCTTCAAAGCCATTTACCAAACCACCATGTCTATTTTTTTCAAACATAGTTATTGGTACTTGTGTAAGCTAATTTAAAAGGTTTTCTTCTAACCTTTTCTTAAAATCTTACCATTCTATGTTCAAAGGTCTATTTTTTCACTTTATATTTGTGATTCTAGAAATCCTAACTTGTTCTCCTTTCCCCACATCACTAAAAAAGAAAGATGAAAATGGTCTTTTATTTTCCCTAACATAAAGTAATCAAATTACATTAAAAATGTGCAGTATGAGCCTTGTACCTGGCAGGCCACGCATACAAAGATAAACCCAACTTGAGAATTTTAACAGTAATTGAGAGGACAGAACAAACACACGATTGAAACACGTTTTTACTAACTTTAATGGGAACATGTAATCTAAATTAGCAAGGTTAGGACATTGCTTAATGAGAAACTGTAAATTGGGAAAAACCTCATCAGAGTGGCTTGGAATATTGAACATTGGCTCACTTGAACTAAGGAATATACACGTCATTGTTTTTCCTGTTTTAATTTCTTTCAATTTAATTTTTATCCATGGTTTCACTTTCTGTTGTTTCAGTTACCTATGGTCTATTGAAGTCTGAAAATATTACATGGAAAATTCCAGAAATAAACAATTCATAAGTTTTAAAATACACACTATTCTGATTAGCATGATAAAAATCTCACACCAGTTTGTTCCTTTCTGCCCAGAACATGAAGCATCCCTTTTCCAGACTGTTCATACATACACACTTCTTACTGGTCTCTTAGTCACTTCGTAGCTATACAGGAAAAAACACAGTATATATAAGATTTGATGCTATTCATGGTTTCATGCATCTGGGAGTGGGGCACTTGAATAAATTCTTCACAGTTAGTGGGGACTACTTATGTATTGGGAGAAAACATAATATTAGGCAAGTAGTAAGAAGCAATATATCCTCAGTCAAGTACAGTCAAGCTCTCAGGAGCCATCTAATGTTTTTGAGCAAAACTTAAACTTGGGTTAGCATACAAGATAAGAACCATATTTAAAGATCCTAAAGGATCCTTAGATTTAATCCAACCTTCCATTAAACAAGCTCAGAAAGATTAAGTATACTTACGAGTGACAGATTCTGAATGAGGCCAAGAATATTTATTATATTCCACTTGATTAGAAGAATTGAAATCTTATACATTTTTCCCACTGTTTATAGTATAACTATAGCCCTTAATTACATATAGCACTTACCAGTTTTATAACCATACCAGTATTTTTCTATCTGGATGAATTAACATTACCTTAATTTGTGAAGAATTCTGGGAAAGAATTCTGCCAGTGTTATTTAGTGAATCCATTTGAATCCACTAGAGGTCACTGTTTTTTCAGAGACTGTTTTCTTTTTCTTAAATGTGTGCCAAGTATCAGAGTTCTAGAATTTGTTATTTTTAAAAGCTTGTATAGCTATTACACACATAAGTTTTACAGAAAAGATATAATTTAAAGTCTTTTCACATATGGTATGGGGTACAGTGTTCAGAATAAATTTTTTAAAGAGAAAAAGTGATCTCTTTTAAATGGTAGCACTTACTATTTAATGCAAATATTTTATTGACTTACAGTGAGTCATAATAATTATAAGAACTGCATTATAGTAGTAATTTTAATAATCAATTTTAAAATTTTAAATCCATTCAAAGAATTAGATATCTTATTGTAATGAATTGGAAACTTTTAGATCACTATAATAAATGCATTTTTATCATGGCCTAATATATGCATATAGGTGAAAAAAAGATTTATGCAATACCTCTGTTATTTTCTACTTTTTTACTTTTGTAAAATGCTGGTAGCAGCTTATTTAATTGATTGGTCCTGATATATAGCTGATATATGTATAATATCTAGCTTATATTTTTAGTTGTTTAATATAGGAAAGGAACTTATCACTAGACCTCAGTTTCCTCATTTGTAAATGTAGAAAGTTGCATTTAGCTTCTTAGTTCCTTTTAATTCTAATGCTTTACAGTTTTAAGTCAGTTATGTCTTTTTTTTTTTTTTCAGTGTGTCTATAGTTACTGCTGCTATAATTAGTGGTTTCTAGGTAAGGAAATGTCTTATTTGTAAAAGTGAAGAAAATTAAAATTATCAGGATAAGAGAAACTTTATTACTATCTTGTAACAAAGTCTGTCTGACTTAAAAATTTAATGTCAAAGTTACCGGCTTTAGTAATATGTACTCTTTAGTTTATAAAAACAGAGTGATAAGGGATTGGATCAAAGTTTTTAAATTATAGAGGGGAAAAAGATATTTTTGAGTATGTCCTGAACAATTTGAAGTTGTCCTCTTTAGGGACTCCCGAGTTTTACATTTGGAAATCAAATCAATTTGATTTTTCTTACATTATAGTGAATGTTAATTTAAGTTAATATATCTTACAATATTTAAAAGCTAGTAGTATCCCTTAAAATTTATAAGGTATTACTTTATACCACAGTAAATTCACTATCTGAAGGATAGAGATGTATAAATGATTTAAGAATGGTTTAGACAAATTCATAAACTTTAGCACCACACTTTTCATCAAGACTTTGAAGTCAAAAGGAGCCTTGGAGTCTTTTTAATTCTTAGTTTTAAGGTATGAAAACATACATGGAGTATACCTCTTAAGTCACAGAGAACAACACCGTCTCACAAAATGTCTCCTGATTCCCCGAAAGGGAAAAAACATTGACCTAGAATGGTTTGGGTCATAATGCAGTATAATGAGACCCACATTGTGAGTTCGAAATTTTTTACCCACTTGGTGACCAGAAACAGACCACATATAGTTTTGATGATCTGAGAGAGTATGCTCATTTAGACAGGCATATGCTTGCATTTATAAATCCTCTTAGGTTAAACATAGACTCTAACAAGTCTTTGAAGGAGGGAATTATGATGTAAAATCTACAATCTAAGAAGAAATGACAAATTTTGAAAAGCAAATTATAATTTTAAAGATCTAATTGGGGTGAATAGTTAATGCTGACAGAGCTAAAGGCGCCATCATGTGGCCCAGAGTAGGGGATTTTCACACACCATTTCTTGGCAATAAACAGTATAATCTCAGAGGTGCGGAAGCCAAAAACCTCTGCAGAACAACTTTTATAACCTCTTCCTGAACAGCCACCTCTTTTGCTCAGTTTGCAGAATAAAAGCTTTGTGAACAGATTTTAATGTGTCTAAAATACAACTGAAAAGTTCCCACCACCTCAGGGGAGAATTATAGCTTGTTTCTTCTCTTCGTTTCTATATATATATATAATATATTTTGAATTGTATATACACATACACACAAGTACATATATACACAAAGCATAAATCATTTTAGGTTTACTTTGCTAAAGTTTAATCATCTAAATTATACCTTAATGAAAATATTTATGAAGATCATTTTGAATGTATTCTTTAACTAAGATGGTTACTTATTTTGTTTTTCAAATTAGCTTTCAGAACTGACTCTAGGATAGAATAAACTGTAAAGAAGGGAATAGAAGATACTTAGCATAAAGAGAAATAGCAATTTTAGTAAACAAAAAGAATTTGAATGTTACCCAAGAAAGAATAAAAAAATGAAGCAGTGTAACTTCTTATTTCATTCTTTTTAAAATAGCACGTTTTTTAGCAAAAACAAACTAAAGTTTTATATTGAACCTTTCATCTTATACCTGAATAAATTCAAATTTACTTTATTTTAATGCCA